GAAAAACCACATGAACTGTGCCATCCCTTTCAGCAGAGAGACCGCGCATGAGTCAGAATGCATCCGAGGAAAGCTTCCCTTCAGTCCCGGCGGAAAGGTCCACACCACGCTTGCGAGCAAATGCCAAGCACTGCAGCGGCGGAAGAGCCGAGTTGCACTGCAAGGAAGTCCAGCCCTGCAGGAAACGGGGTCTGAGGACGGGGTGCATGAGCCAGTAACCAGTTCCCTGCAGGAAAAGGCCAATCGCCACTGCTATACATTCCTGAGTGCCAGTTCAAATCTTGCTTTAGCAAAGAATGGTTGTGCTATCTGTCCAGTCCCAAGGTCTGCGAATGAAGAAATTCAATCCCCTTATGTATACCCAGATAAAAAGGACCACTCCACGTGATCCTAGCGACAAGAACTGTTGTGAAGATGGAAGGATAAGTCTAGATGCAGAATCCATGCAGAAAGGCCGATCCTGGAGCCAAAATTGGACTTGGTGCCACGGAGGGGGCACAGAGCTCAGCAACAGGGAAACCCTCTTAAGTCTCTGGCCCACGTGCCCCTGTGTTTATGCCTGTGAACCCAGATCAGCGGAGAGCGGTCGGTGATTTAAAGGAACCTGTAAGACCTGCAGGCTACCTTGGAGCAGGTCAGCAGTACAAAAGGACCCACGGCAGACTCGCCAGGAGAAAGGGGAGCAGACACGACCTGCGAGTCCAAGGGGCCAACTGCAGAAAAACCGAACATGGTGCTGTAATATTGTAAGGAAGCAAGAAACAACAACGTGTGCTCAGAAACAACACTTTAAAACCAACCTTCAGCCCTTTTGCCATCCAGACTGAAGGGACCCCTACCCCAATTCAACATGCCAGGCCCAAGAACAGGCGCCCAGACGCGGGCCATTCGCGCGCCCACGGCGAATGCGCTGCCACGCTTTCCTCAGCCCCGTGCCCCATCCCGAGTGCAAGGTCCAGGGCGGCCACACGGTGCCGGCAGTCCGGATGCATCCCGTGGGTGTGGGCCCCCCCAAGGCACTACTGAGCACGTGCCCAAGATCCTCTAAGGATTTTCTAGGGCCAGAAGGAGGGACTGAAGGACGTAAATTTTCCAGATGGCCAAACTACGAGGGTCAGGGACTTGGGTTTCTACCAGAGAGACGCAAGGAGAGCGGAAATATAAAATGAACCTCTGTCAAGAAGGCAGAAAGGAGCCTGGAGGCAAATGTTTTGACACCCGAAGCGCAGAGGTCAAGATAACCATGTACAAAAGCGAAAGAAAGTTCTCTGTTACTGAACATTGCAAAAAGCTAAATGCGCCAACTGGCTGCGCTTGACGACTGTGGCGCCGGCCTTGCCTGGAGATGGACTCGCTCTGTCCTGCTCGCGTCTTCCTTTAATACAGAGACTTCGTACATATAAAGCCGCTTGCTGGAGCCGCCCGTCTCTCTCTGGCCAGGCAACAAACAAGCCCAGGGCCCTTCCGAGGTCAGAGGCAGCCTGCGCTCCGACCTTGGAACAGGGGGTTGGCGATCTGTGCCCCCTCCTCTTCCCGAGACTGGCGGTGTCCCGGTGAGCCAGGAGGGGAAGGGATTGGGGAGGGGGAACGAGACCCCCCAGGCTCCCTCCAGCTGCCTCCCCCACCCTCTCCAGCACCCCACAGGCGAAAGGGGTGGGTCTGGCAGTACTGTGCCACATGGAGGGGGGGTGCAGGCCACCGTGGCGGCTTTGGCCCAGCAGGGCCCAGCTCCGCCACAGCGCTCAACTGGGTGCAGCTCCGAGCAGCACGTGGCCAGAGGGGCCAGGCACTCGGTCGCTTCACTAGGAAGCGCCGCCCCGAGCACGAGCGCGGACGTGTCTTCATGTAGTGCGAGCAGGGGCAGGAGACGTCGGAGACAGACACCGGGGAACGCCGGGGGGGAAGGGGGCCTCCCCACACCGGGGTGAGCAAGCGTTGGGCACGACAACGGACCACCGTGGCAGCCCTGACCTCCGACTCTCCTGTGTCGGCGGGGCGTCTGGCCTGGCCTCGCCTGGGCTCACACTTTGCCCCACGACAAGTGCTCCACACCCCCCCCGCTAAGCGCATTGTGACCCACTCAGCCCCATCCGAATGCGTGCGCACGCAGGCACACGCTGGCTGTCAGGACCAACCAAAAACGTCTGTGGTGGTCCTACCATTCAGAGACATTTAAGTTCGGGGCCAGCAGGAATGCGCACTTCTGCAGGCCTGAAGCGAGGGGCAGAACGCATCAGGCGTTTTCTCCCGACTCTCCTAGCCTCCGCGGGAAGAGCGCTGGAGTCGCAGCCCTGCGTCCCACGGGGGCCGAATCCTCGCAGGACAGATGGTAGGAACAGGCGGGGGGGGCGCCTTGGAGGAGCCCCGCAAGGAACGCTGCGGGTCCTGTGTGCGATCTCGCGGGCTTTGGGGGGGCAAAAGGCCTGGAAGAAGGACGGGGGCTGGGCAGGCGCACCGCGGCTGCACCTGGCGGCCGCCTGCCGCCACCACCACCACCGCCGAGCATGCACAGGTGGGCCCGGCCCAGCCCGGCTCCCTCCGTGGCCGCACCTCCCCGAAGCCTCGGCACCGGCAGTGTCTGGCCCGGCCCCCCGACCCAGGCTGCTTGGCTGGTGCCCCTCCGTGCCGGCACCCCAGGCGGCCCCTGGGCGCCCTCCCCGCCCCGCAGCACCCTTCCTTCCAGGACAGAGCGGCGTCTCCCGAAGGAGGGGGCCCCAGCCGGGCGGCATGTGGGGAACTGCCTGCCCGGCCGGCTCGGCAGCTCAGCACAGCACAGCGCAGCGCAACACAACGCGAGGCGAGGCGCCCGCCTCCCCGCCACCGGCCCCGCCGGGCCCGCGGGGCGCCTCTTCCCTGAGAGCGAAGCACTCACCCCCTTTCCTCCTCCGCATCGAGGCTTGGAATCAAGAAACAAAGCACAAGGCGTCAGTGCGGGCCGAGAGGCCGTCCCGGGCATGCCGCGCCCGCCTCTGCCCCGGCCCCGCCCCCCCCCCGGCCAGGCCGCTCCCGGGCACACGCCCCCCGCCCCCCCACATGCACTGCGCTCCATGCGCCCTCGTGCGCTGCGAGCCGTGGAATGGAGTGCGCCTCCCGAGCGAGCCGGAGCTCTGCCGCCCCCGCAAGCCCCCGGGCATCCTGTGCCCCGCCAGGAGCAGAGGGCCCGCCTGCACCAGCTCTCGCCTCTCCTGGCATGGCTGGCCTCTGGGAGGGAGGGCCACTGGGCATGTGCGGGCTGCCTTCCCACCCTTGCAGAGTGGCTCCGGGATGGGGCTCCCGCACTCTTGCCAGGGATGCCTCCGGGAGCAGAGCCGCCCCCCCTGGCTAGCCTTGCCCAGACGCCAGCACACCCAGGCCCGAGGGGGGGCGGAGGGCAGCCTGCTCATGCCAGAGCCGAACTGCTGGGCATGCGGGCGGGGGGGCAGGTGCCACATGCAGGGTGCCCGGCTGGTGCTGGGGGGAGGCTCCATGCAGGGCCCCCCCTTCCTCTGCTCCCTTCTGACCAAGATGCTCCCGGGGGTGTGGGACCTCTCTGAAGAAATGCCCAGTGGGAAGGACGTGATCTTGGCCCTCCGGCTTTCCCGTGGTGTGCCGCTGACCTGCCCGCCTGGAAGCGCTAGCCAGCTCCCCCTGGACAGCATCAGTGACGCCCCCCCGCCCCACTGGGGAGAGGCCCCCGTGCCGGGAACACAGGGATGGCAGCTGAACCATCGGGGAGCACGGAGCTTCCCCCTGAACACGGCGTCTGCCCCGGGACTCTTCCCCGCTGCTGGGCGGACGGCGGTCAGTGCAAGCTGCCACGCCGATGACGGGGCCACCACGGAAGGCCCCCTCCCGGCCACCACCTGCTGGACTGCCACATGGAAGCCAAGAGAAGGCGGGTCCCCGTGGATCCCTCCAGAGAACCTGGGGCCACACAGCCTCTCGACCGCGGGCGAACGGGATGCCCCCCTCAACCGCTGCTCCCATGCACCGACATCCCGCCCCGCTCCCGAGGCCAGCTCCGTGGGCTGCCGCTGCCTCCCGCCCGTCTGAAGAACGCCCTCGCCAACTGAGCCCCAGCAGGCTCCAGAGCCGGAGGAAAAGTGCACGAGAGCATGCGCAAGAGGCCGGGCGAGTGCTCCAGCAGGCAAAGGGTCCCCGGTGTTGTGTCGGGTGCGGTGGGCAGGTGTCCCCGGAGAGCTGCGGGGATGCAGGGAGGGTCCCTGGCTCAGGCCCTGGAGGGCGCGGCGCCCGGCCTGCGGCTGCGGCACGAGCACAGGAACGTGCGAGGAATCCCGCGGGAATGCCGGCAGGCACCGTCTGGGGGCCCAGAAGGCTCAAGCGGGGCGTGGAGGATGCCCGCCGGGCCAAGGGGCAGGAGCCACAGGGCTGGCCTCTGCCATGCCCTCCCGGAAGGGATTCCTGGCTGTGGGAGCAGGAAGGGGCTGGGGGGCCTGCTCCCCCGTCACAGCAGGGGACGTCTCCGGGAGGAGCGGAGGGCTGGCCCAGGGCAGACGGGGCATGTGCCGGGCGCCTGGTGCGGTGGACCGGGGGACGGGGAGGGGGCTGGCCAGTGCCGGGACCAGACGGGAGGCTGCCTGGGCGCCCAGGGCCGCTCCATGAACGCGAGATGCCTCCGCCGAGCGAGCCTGTGCGGGCGAGGCGCTCCTCCGGAGCAGCTGGTGCGGGGCAGGAGCGGTGCCCCAGGAGGGGGGCTCCGGCCGGGAGGGGGCACAGGCGCTGCAGGCACTCCGGGCCCTGGACGCAAGGCAGGGGGCGCACGGCCAGCCCCTCTGGGGAAAGCGACACGAGGAGAGCGAAGCAGGGTGCGCGCGGGGGCCGAAGCCAAGGCCATTCTGCAGAGACGGGGCAGCCGGCCCCAGAGGCCGAGCGGCGGGCGGGCCCAGAGCCACCGCAGGCCATGCACCGTGCCCCGAGGCGGTGCCCACGGAGGGGCCGCGCATCACCCCCGCCCCCGCCGTGCATGCGCCGAGCGGCCGCCGCCAGCCCCGCGGACTCACCCAGCTCCTCCAGCTCGGCCGTCATGGACTTGGAGCGCAGCGTCAGCGTGGTGCTGGGGGCCCGCTTGGGCGGAGGGGGCGCTGCAAGGAAGAGAGAGGGCGTTCGGCACCGCCGGTCCAGCAGCCTGCGCGGCGTGGCCAGCTGCAGGTGCCACTTCTTCTCCACCGCCTGGATCTCCTCGTATTCGCGCGAGGAGGAGTCGCACTGCTGCAGGATCTTGTTCAGGCTGCGCGAGGAGGCAAACTTCTTCATGGTCCGTGCCGGGTGGGGGGCGGCAGGGCCGGGCGTGCGGCCGGCGCCCCCTCCCTCAGCGCCGGGGGCCCCCCGGCACGGTCCCCATGGGCTCCGCCTGGGCTGGCGCGGCTTCAGGGGGGCAGCCGCGGCTCATCGCGGCCTCGCCCGGGCACGCAGCCAGCCCCCGCCCCCCGCGTGCCGTCGGCGAGGAGGCCTGAGGCGCCGGCCGGACTCTCAGGCCCCCATCCGCCTGCGCGACCCGCCCTCTGCCGGCTCGGGGACGGCCGGGGCCGCGGCGGCTCCGAGGCCTCTGCCCGCGCAGCCGAGAGGCGCGGGCACGTGGCGGCCACTCCGCCACCCGCCGGGCGGGTGCCTGCGAGGGGCCGCGGGGGGCCGGGTGGGGGGACTTCCTAGCTGGCCCGGCCAGCGGCGATGCTGGAGCGAGGCTCCATATGCCATGGATTCGCAGGAGTGGCGCGGAGGGCCGGTCGGTCGCGCCGCTCAGTCCGTAACAATGCGAGCTTCAGCGCCGCGTTGCCATGGAGACCGGCCCACCGAGCTCCTGCTGGAGACGCCTGCATCAGGGACCCCGCATGGGAAGGGAAGGACGGAGGGAGCCGCAGCAGCGCGGCGGCTGAGCCGAGCCCGGAGCTCCTGCAGGCGGGCCCTCTCCTCCGGCTCTCCGGCCACCCGGGGGGGGGGGCAAGGGAAGCCCCACCGGGAGGGGAGGGGCCGTGGAGACCCTCTGCTGCCGGTCGGCTTGGCGCGGGCCAAAGCAAGGCACCCCGGCGGGAGCGGGGCCCCCTCCGCGGCCACCGGACCCCAGCGAGGGGGTGGCGCGGCCTCCCGCCCAGCCCTCCCGCCCCCTCCCGCTCGTGCAGGCACAAGGCGAGCACGGCTCCCGGTATCGGCGCCTCCCGCTTCCGCTCCCCCCGGCCCCCCCGCAGGCCCCCCCCCCCGGCGCCTGGCTCCGCGTCACACGCGCAGCTCCCAGATTGCGCCTCCCCCCAATGCAGACCCACATGCCTAAAATAGGCTCGGGATCCGTCCCCCTACGCGGTCTCCACCGTGTGGGAGGGAAGCCGCCTCACCTTCCCAGCGCCGCCCGGCTTCACGGCGGGGCGTGCCAGGCAGCGGCGGCCGGGCCCTCCCCGAGGAGGGCCAGGAAGGGGAGCTGCGGGGAGGCTGCTGGGCCAGGGGTCGCGGGATGCGCTCGCCCGGAGGCTTCCCTGAACCCGCTCAAGCCGCATTTCTGGGCAGAGCCTCTCAGGGCACAAGCGCACCCTCCCGCCCGCCCCGGGTGCACGGGGAGCCCTCCGGCCCTGCCAGCTCAGCACAGTCGTTCGGACAGAGGGCAGACCAGCAGCCCGCCTCTGTGGCACAAGCACCCTCAACCTGCCACCAGCTGCCCCAGGGGCCTCTCGAGCGGCCCCCGCGTGCCCAAGGCGGCCACACCAACTCCTCACCCAGCCACGGGTGCCGCCCACTGGACTGCACAGCGGCACGCCCGTGGCTTGGCCAACCTCACAAGGTGCTCGCGTGTGGGGCCATGTGTGGCTGGAACCACCGGCATTCTGGAAACAGCAGGAACAACCTTGGTTGTTCCCATACCAGGAATCTCTGAACATGTGCACGGACTCTTTTCTGACTGGCCAGGGCCCGACCGGGGAATGACGGCCGCTCGGAAGGCAGCGTCCACAAACAAGCACGCTCAGTGCACGGCAAGCCCCCAGAGCGCCTCTGGGCCCCCCTCTAGGAGAGCTCGGCCGTGCCAGGCCTGTCCCAAGCCAGTTTCCTGGAGACGGGCTCGGGATGAGCTTTCCCGGGAAAGCCAGAGCAGAGCCCCCTGCAGCGGGAACTTCCCTCAAAGGAAGGGCTGTTTGAGGGCAGCAGCAGGAGGCGAGCCCTACCTTGCCCTCTGGCTGCTGGAGGTCGGGGGAGTGGGGCGGGGGGGCATGGCTAAAGTCTCGTGCACCCCAAAGGCCCGTCGTGACACCAAGGCGGCCGGCTGGGGGCGAGTGAGGCGGCCGGCTCCGGAACCTGCGGCGCGGAAGCCCCATCCGACGGCCCTGCTGGCTGGGGGTGTCTGGCTTGAGTGCCAGCTCGGAGAGGACTTGCGCTGCAGAAACCCATGACGGGCACCTCTGCCCCCCACCTGGCCCTGGGACGCCGAGGAAGCGGCGAGGCCACCCAAACGGGAGTCGACCCTGGAACATGGACCGTCCATCGACCCGACCGACCTGCGGAAGGGGGTGCCGATCCACAGTCACCCCCAGCCACGAATGAGCGCTCCCGGCTCGGATGGGCAGGCAGGGTGGCAGCCCCGGGCCACGCCGCGAGCCGCCCGCCTGAGCAGCACCACACGCCCAGTGGGCTGCCGAGGGGCCCCTCCTGAGGACCAGGCGCCTGCGCGGTGAAACCCACCGCGCCAGCCCCTGGAGGCAGCCTCCTCCCTCCCTCCCGCCCCGGGCCCGTCTCAGCACGCGGCTGGGGGACGGACACACGGGGCGAGGCGTGGGGGGCGGCAGCCCCGCAAAAGGGAGACCTGGGAAGCCGCGTCCGTGGAACGGCGGGCCGGGCCCGCTCGCTGGCCCTGCAGGAGCAGCTCCGCTGCTGCCAGGGGTCGCCGTGCTGCCATCTGGACGCACACGGCCCACAGCTGCCGGGGGGGCCACGGCAGGAGGGGAGCCTGGCAGCCCCCCGGGGCCCACGCCTCCAAAGAGCTGTGCCGGGTGCCCACATGCAGAGGGGTGGCAAGGGGCAGAGCCCCCCGCACGGGGAGTGGCGCCCCCGGACCGCGCGGCACTCACCCTTCTTCCGGACGGCGTCCTCCGGCTCGGGCTTGCGGCTGACGGAGACCACTTTCATCACCAGGTGGTTCCCCCCCTGGCGGATGAGCGACACCACCTGCTTGTGGCCCACCTTCACCACGTTCACACCGTTCACCTGGCAAGCAGAGAGGGCGGAGTGAGTGGGGAGGGGGCGGCAGCCCCACTCGCCACAGCCGCTTCCCAGCCGGAGCTGCGACAGGGAAGGGCAGCCCCCTCGGCCGGCCCCCAGGCAAACCTGCACGCACAGCCGCACTTCGAACTGGCACCGCTGCCCGGCCGGCCGGCCCTTTCCCGCCTGCGAGGGCCCTGGGGAGGGCAGCCCACCCCCAGCAGATCAGGGCCTCGCCCCAAGCCTGCTGGAGCCGGGGGACCAAAGGCCAGGCCACCAGCCCCCCTCCTGCTCGCAGGCAGAGGCTTCCCCTCACCCAGAAGGGAGTCCTGCCCCCTCGGAAACTGAGCACGCGGGCCCTGCATTTCTTAGGTCAGCGAAAACATTTAACACTGCGCGATACCAAAATAAAACATGCAGTCATAGAACAAACGGCATTGAAGGAACCGTTCTGATCACTGAATAAACCCTACATTAAATAGCAACTAGTACAAGACGGACTGAGATCGCCATCTTGATCCCGTGTGATTTAACAGCACACCACTCCTTTCCACTCCATCACTGGGGAGTATCGAAGAAGTTGCAAGGTTTCCGCACATTCTGGCCTAACCTTGAGCAAAAGAGGTCAATTTCAAGCAACCTCTGCCATCTCGACAGCTGTTCCTGCTTAATGAAACTGACAACATCGTTTTCAAAGACGTGATTCTCGCCCCGAGCCGTCTTGGGCTGGCCGAACTCGCTCACTCCCAGTCCGTGGCAAGTTCATCCTTTTCCTTTTTGCATTTGAACAGGAAAAGGGCACAGGCGGCCAGTGCAGACGTTGCAAAGACTGGCCTCCGCAGGCCCCCCGCCGGCAGCCCCGAGTCATGCCCGCCGAGGGGCCCGCTCCGGGGTGGAACTGCCGCATCACGTGTCACACGCCGAGGCCGGGGCTCAGCCCCGAGAAGCCTCCACGCAAAGGCGGCCGCAGGCAGGGCTGGCGGGCGAGGGGGGCCCGCCTCAGCGCTGCAGTCCCAGGCGGGCACGCGGGGCCCCCAGAAAAGGCCCCCGAGGCCTGTGCCAAGCCTTAGCGCCCACTTCAGAGGGGCGCTGGAGGGCTGCGCCCCACACGTCGGGGCGGGGGCAAAAGGAATGAAGCCAGAGGGGCGGGCAGCATGCCCGCGCAGTTGAGCCCAGCGCTGCTTCGGTCGGGAGCCAAGCCCTCGAAGAGGCCCTGACCCCCTTCCGGTGGACAAAGAGGCGGAAAGGCGAGGAGGGCCCCAAGCCACCCATGCCTGGGGAAGGGGCCGTGGCCACCGGGGGAGCCGGGAGGGGTCCACTCGGCCCCTGGCCTGGGGCTCAGGCCCTGCCCTGCGCGCGAGCCGCAGCCCCTTTGCCTGCCCTGGCAGGCACGCTCCGCCCCCAGGGCACCCCAGCCCGGCAGCCCCCCACCTGCGTGTGGCATTTCTCGCCACTAGCCTCTCTCCTGCTCGCCTGGGCCCCAGGCACCCCCGCACCCACCCGGTCAGGGGAGCGGGACAGCCCCCATCCTGGGGGGGGGGGAGGCGCACTTTGAGCAGGCTCCTGGTCTGCCTGAAAATGGCCCCTGCCCCGCAGGGGCCCCCAGAAGGATGCCACCACCCCCACCCAGCTGGCTCAGCACAGGGGGCCAGGCAGCCTCTGCAGGGCACGGGGCTCCCCGGCTCCTCCGGACACACCCCGCCCGTGTGCCGCTGGCATGCCACCTTTTCCGATCTGCAAAGGGATGAGCGAGGGAAGGCATGTCCCTGACAGAGGTGCACAAAATTATGTTTGGGGCAGAGAAAGCAGGCAGGGAGGCCCCGTGTTGCCTCCTCCGCACGGCAGAGTTAAATGTGCAATCCACTCCTACAAAATGCCGTGGAGACCACCCGCCGGGCCGCTTCGAAGGGCACAGAACAAATCCAGGGCTACTGGTCCAGACGGTCACTGGCTACGCCTGCTGTCAAAGGCAGCATGCCCACGCACACCAGCTGCCGGGGAACATGGGTGGTGCGGCACTCAATTTCTGCCTGGGGCTTTCCTTTGGCGGCTGGTTGGTCCCCCTGTGAGCAGCACGCCTGAGCACATGCCCGGGGCCTGATCCAGCGTCATGGTCCTTCTCATCTTGCAGAGAGAGCTGGCCACCCCGAGATGGGGCCCTTCTGCACACCCCGCCGTGCACAGCTGATGAGCTGGCCCGGGGGGAGGCGTCCAGCTGGCAGACAGAGCACGGCAGAGGAGAATGTCCTGGGTGCAGGCAATGGGCTGGGGCAGGTCTGGATGTGTGGCCTCTGGCAGGACAAGGACCCCAAACCGGTGGGAATGCGGCGTGGCCCCTTTCCGCTGACCCGCCTGCCGTCCCGGTGCTCCCGCATCCAAAAGAGGCTTCCGGGACAGAGGCGGGGCAGCGCGTTCCCACCGCAGAGCATGCCGAGGCGAGCCGGTCAGCAGGCAGGCGGGAGCAGCGCAAGGCGCCCAGCTGCCCTCGGGGCGCTCAGAGCCCGAGCCCGAGCCAAGTGGGCCTGCTGGTGCTGAGCCGGCTCCAGGGCTGTCCCTGCAGGACGCCCCTCCCCAAGCGTGGCCAGGCCTTCACGCGAGCAGGGGGCTTTCGGGGGGGCGGGTGCTGCCCGCGAACCAGGAGGGCGTGTGCACAGCCATGCCCAGCACAAGAGCTGCCAGCGCCAATGCAGCCTCGCTGCCAGGAAACGGAAACGGATTCGAAACAGGCGTCGCTAGCAAATGTCGCACGCCGCTTCTCTTCCTTCGGCTTGCAAAGACAGCTGGGCGTGCACACGGGGGGGGGAGGGGGGGCAGAAGCACCTCACACAAATAATGCCTGCAAAGTCGCTTGAACCAAATCGCGCTGCTAGGCGAGCCAGGGGCCTCCCAGGCGGTCTCTGGGGAGCACTTTGCCGGGGCGCCTCCTCTGCGAATGCTGCCGCTGGCGAGCCCGGCGTGCCAGGCAGGAGCACGCCCCCCCTCCCGCCCTGACACAGAAAGCGCCCCCCCCATGACAAGGCAGTGGAGGATCTGCCCTGAAGGGAAAGGCGGGGGCAGGAACCCAGCGAGGCCTCTGGTCTGGTCCAGCCGGAAGCCCAGCCCTGCCCCATCCTCCCCACGGCAGGCCCGCCACACCCAGGGGTCCCGCGGAGGGGCCCAGTCGAGTGTGGGGGGAGCCCCCAGAAAGCCTGGGGGTGCCTGGCGCCTTCTGCAAAGCGCAGCCTGGTTGGCCACTCAGGCGGGCCGAGGTTCAGCCCAGGGGCAGCGGAGGACGAGCGGGGCCCTCTCCCAGCCCAACGGCCCGGCCAGCCCCTGCCTCCCACGGGGCTCCCTGCTGCCAGCCCTGCGACCGGAGGCCCTGAGCGCTCCAGCCTGCGGAAGGCCAGCCAGCGCCGCTCGCCCGGAGCCCCCCCCGGCAGCCCCTCTTCCGCTTGCGCCAGGCAGGAGCGAGCCGCGGTGAATCCCTGCCTGGCACAGGGACTTGGTGCGCCGCCGGCACAGTGGTCGACCGAGGGCGCACCACACCTGGATGCCTGCCGAGGCAGAGGTGGAGGCCCGGGCAGGCAGAGGGGGGCGTGCAGGCGGGGGGGTCGCTACCTGCGCTGTGCTCGCCCCCTGCCCCGAAGCCCCCGATGCCTCCACGTGCAGGTGGTGTGAGAGCTGCTCACGGGGAAAGACGGTGGCCCGGGCACGCCACGACGTGGCCTCCTCCGCGCCTGTGCGGGGGGACTGCTCACAGTGGCACCCGAGGCCCAAAGAGGGACGTGTGCCCCCAGACAGACATCCCAGCCCACGCAACTGTAGCGCCTCTCATTAATTTCCTTGCCAGGGCAAAGCGGGGCGGGGGGCACCCCTCGGCCACTGGCCAGAAGCAGCCCTCCGGGGCCGACACCAGCGAAAGCGCTCCTCCGGATCAGCACCTCTGCGACCGGGCCGTGCGTGCTCAGGCAGAGCGGACGCCCGGCAGCGGCCCCAGGCCTCTGGCCGGTCCCAGCGCTGGCCGCTCCCCACTGGCTGCTTGGCAAAGGCAGCGGCCAGCCGACCAGGCACTCCTGAGCGGAGCCTCCGCTCGGAGCCCACAGGGCATCTTACAGGGAGGGGAGGGGAGGGGAGGGGAGGCACGTCGCCCGCCTGCTCCCGGAGCCACTGCATTTCCCCCAGGCCAGGAAGCGCACCACCGGAAAGGCCTCTCCCCAGGGGGTCCAGACGCCTCTTCCTGCAGCACCTCCAGTGCGGGGTGGGCGGAGGCGGCAGCAGGAGGGCCTGCCGTGTGCGGGGCGTCCGCGCCACTGCTGAGCACCCGCCACGCTGGCACTGAGCCAGCCCCTGCCCCGCCGTTCACCCGCTGCCTCCACACGCCTGCTCCGACTCTGGCTGCTGCGCCGCCTCCCTCTGGTCCAGGCTGAGCCCACCAGGCCCTGCAGGACCGTGCGTCCAACCCCCTCACCCTCATTTTTATTATTTATTTAGGGGGCTTCTATGCCGCCCCATTCGCTGAAGCCTCAGGGCGGCTCACAACCATAAATAAATAGAATCCAATAAAACAATATAAATTAACAATATAAATTAAGTCGCCCTGGCCAAAGAATAAAATGAATAAATAATATTAACAATTAAAATAACATTTGAATAAAAAGGTCTTTGCCTGGCGCCGAAAAACAATTAACAATGGCGCCAGGTGACCTCTTTGGGGAGCGCATTCCATAGATTTTTGCCCTCCTCGGGACATGCTCAGGCTGAAAGAAAGATCGGAGGAGAGGAGAGGAGAGGAGAGGAGAGGAGAGGCATCATGCAGGAAGCCTGAACCTGCTGGGCCGCAGCAGAGCCATCGAGGGCAGCGAGCCTCAGAATCACGGAATCATAAAACAGCCAAGCGGGGGGTCATGTGCCAGGTGCGTCTCTGGTGGCTCTCGGGGCCCGCGGGGATCTTTGCTTCCCACAACAGATCCAGATGCTTGACCAGGCCAAGGATCCTGTGGGGCGCCTGCGGAGGCCTCAGAGGCGGC